CCTCACAGACGAGCAGAGTTGGTGAAACAAGAGGTATGCTCTCCTGGACAGGGAATATACTCAAATATATTACATACATACTGACTTTTTGGAAAATATAATAGCTGTATTTCACCGCAGTGTGGTATAATGGTTAGAGAGCTGGTCTGGTAACTCAGAGGTTGCAGGTACAGCCATGTGGCCCAAAGGGGGCAAAATGACCATGAAGTTATATTATTGAATATAAAATACTGATACTGCAATAAGTATCAGTGCAATATATATATAAATATATTTCACTGCAAAAGAATATTTAAAAGAATATATATTCTTTAAAATTGCAGTGAAATGCATCTATCATTACATATTTCAGAAAGTCCACATACTGTATTTACAAGCTGTGTATTACAGTAATGGTGAGACAGATTGCCTGATCTCCCAGGGGATTATGGGTAACATGGAGTTGCTGCTGTCCCAAGGGTTTGTGGGTAAGGTTGAATGCCTACTTTCCCAGGGGATTGTGGGTATGGTAGACCTCCTTCTGTCCCAGGGAGTTGTGGGTAAGGTAAAATACCTGCTCTCTCAGGAAGTGTGGGTATGGTAGGTTTCCTGCTCTCCCAGGGGGTTGTGGGTAAAATGGAATGCCTGCTGTCCCAGGGGGTTGTGGGTATGGTAGATTTCCTGCTCTCCCAGGGGGTTGTGGGTAAAATAGAATGCCTGCACTCCCCCGGGGTTGTGGGCTCAGTAATTCAGACTGGCAGAAAACATGTCCTTGACTCCTCGCGGCTGCTGTGCGAACAGCAGGAGACGTGCCCGCCACCGGGCCTCGTGGGTGAACCAAACCTCCCCTCCCTCCTTTCCACTCTGATGCTAATCCCCTTAGCTCTATCTCCTCCACGCCCCTGCCACACTCTGCCCCCAAGTACCCAGCTGCCCCAGGAATGTGAGCCCGGCAGATTAATCCACACAAAAATGCCAACAAAAGGTCTTCTGAGGGGGAGATGGGATCCTCTGTTGTCTGCCAGGAGAAGATATCCGCAAGTGAAAGAGGCAAAAAAAAAACTGACATCCCAAAGGTGCTTTTCATAAATTGTGTTTGTGTCATTTAAAGGAGGCTCAAGGTCAGGGTGCAGGCAGAGCCAGTGGAGTTGCAGGTTAATGTATGCAGGACATGTCTGTATTTTAAGAACATGGTACAGTAATGACACCATAAGAACATAGTACAGTAATGATCCCATAAGAACATGGTACAGTAATGACCCCTTAAGAACATGGTACAGTAATGATCCCATAAGAATACAGTACAGTAATGATCCCATAAGAACATGGTACAGTAATGACCCCATAAGAATACAGTACAGTAATGACCCCATAAGAACATGGTACAGTAATGATCCCATAAGAATACAGTACAGTAATGATCCCATAAGAACATGGTACAGTAATGACCCCATAAGAATACAGTACAGTAATGATCCCATAAGAACATGGTACAGTAATGACCCCATAAGAATACAGTACAGTAATGATCCCATAAGAACATGGTACAGTAATGATCCCATAAGAATACAGTACAGTAATGATCCCATAAGAATACAGTACAGTAATGATCCCATGCTGTGCACAATAATGGCCTACTCTCTAAAAGGTGCGGTGCGTGTGTAAAAGAGAATAAAGTGAGGGCACAGCAGCTTGCACAATCCGAGCAGGGAGTAAGGTAGACTCTTACCATCTGCAGCAAGCCTTGCTCACACCCATATTAGCTCAGTCTTCAGGATACAGCCTTAATGCTTGGGGCTATCTGTTGTTTCTCCAGTACTGTGCAGTCGGTTTAGTTTTCTACAGACAGTTGGATGAAAAGTAGAAACGAAATGTAAACCTTCAGTCATTCGGTCACTTTCAATGGGGTCGTATCAAACAAACAGAGGAGAGATCTTCCTCCCCTCAAACTCCTGCTTTCCATGGCTCCTCTTCCTCTCCCTCTTCCAGGTGAGTTCACAGCTATGTCACCTTTTTGCAAGGAAGTGCATGTGACCCAAAAAAAAAAAACAAAACATGTACATGTGTGTGTGTGTGTGTTAAGTGTTAGCCCCACTGTTATTGGGATAACAGTGCCACTGCAAATGGCCGATGGCCATGAGTGACAGCGTGAGCGTGTGTGCTCCAGTGACAAAAGAACTGAGGAATTAGGTCATGACTATCTGTCAGTCCCAGGTCTCAGAAAGCACCGTAAGATCTAAAAACATTTTAAGACATTCTTACAGCGCTATCAAGGGACAGAGCTTACTGTCGCAATTGATGTGCCAGGTTAAACACTGGTCAGCTATTTCAGTCAGGAATTAGCAGAAGAGTGATGTGTTAGACACACACCTCCTCTTGCCATTGGACCCAACAGTATTCTGAGTGCTGTAGTTTATGCTTGAATAGCCGTTTTGACTCGCTTGCTGCCCTCTCATTTGACTTGCTTTCACTCAGCTGATGTGATTAAATTTTGCTTGAATCCCAAAAGTGGACCATAATATCTCTCTGAGCCGCGCTACTCTCAACAGTCTTAAGGTCTGAAATGCAACCACCGAATGAAAAATACACATATTCTGAAGTAGCTAAACAGCAATCAAAAATTAGAGGCCCACCTCAAATGTTCTAATACTTAAGGTGTTTCCATTATTTAGTCTATTCCCAGTAAAATCCTGTCATGCAAGGTTACTCAGTCCCCCGTTTTGTTCATTTGAATCATATCTCTGTATAAGCCATGAAATGGAAATCACAATTCTCTATGATGGGAATGCATTTAATATCGTTCGTTTCATTACCTAATATCGCGCCTATAATTTCCTCCAGTTTTAATATCGGTATGGGAGTCTCTATTTATGAACGAATTAAATCTGAAATATATGAGCTATATTAGGCTGTTTAATTTCTGGTATTCCAGCTCCTTTGAATACCAATGACATTCGTTCCTGCTTTGAATTTATTCATGTACTCTGGTTCTTTGGGATGACGATACTGGAATTCATTAACGTCTTCACAAAAAAAGAAAGAAAAAACACAATTATTTCTTATTCATCATGTACCCATGGTTACGGGTGATGCATCGCAGACTGTCACACAGCAGGTGTGGAAACACCGATGGTTTTCGGCACTTCTCTCGCAGTAAACACTGAGAAGTCCTGTAATGTTTGGACTGACTGTTAACGACGTTGAGGCGCGCACTAGCGGACCTACCGCTGGTTCTCGCTCGCTCGGTTCTCAGTCAGCAGATTCCTGTGGACACCACGCAGCGGGGGTGGACCTCACGTCTCTCCGTGCAAAACCAAACAAGCAGCAGAACCTTTTCGCGGGATATATTGCTTTGGTGTCTTAAGTGGATGTTTTTGTTAATTGGCATATTGAAAAATCCCAATGAAAAACGTTGTTTCAGTGAGTGTTCATCAGTATTAAAAGCAATTACGGTTGCTTTAACAGTGATTTCTCGAATCATTTTTCATTCTCTCACGCTCTGAAAAAAACATTATTGCAAAGCTAAAACAACACTCACGACTCATTACAAATTTCTTGCATAATGAATCATTGCATTCCAAACCAAATGACACACTTCTCGATTCAAAACGTTTGCATAAAAACATGTCACTGTGCTTATAACTCACTGATACCAGTCTGGTGAAATCAACTGCAAGCACCATCGTCCAAAATGCTCATGTGCTTTCATCTGCATCTCATCACCCATATTAAACATGACTTCTCATTCAGGCCTACTAATGCTTTGGTCATTCACATGTATAGACACCGCAAGTTAAAAGCCCTCTACAGTATCTATATGAAAAAAGTACCTAGAAAGTACCTAGAAAGATACCCTTACAACTGAAAGAAGGATGAAACAACATATACATTTCTATATTCCAGCAGATATATTGTGTTTAGTAAATAAATGTATCTAGAATATCAAAATATGACAACAAGTCGGCTCTGGCTCCTCTCAGGCCACAGCTTTTCGTGATCATTGTGGGAGATGTTTCGCTGTATAAGCAATGAGGAGCAGTGGATGAGTTGCTCATCTGTGTCTGTAGCTCCATACATCTCCACAAACGTCCTCTGATGCTGAAAAAGGGCCAGCCACTGGCTGGTGCTGCCATTATTCACTTTCTGAAAGAAGTCAGTCTCAGAAAAGGAGAATGGAAGAATGTGGTGGCAGAGGACCAGCTTCAAAATACGCTGCACGATAGACACTGATATTATCAAAACAACAATGGACTAGATTCCCTGCCAACAAACTTGATCTCTTTAAGGGCTTACAATTACATTACATAGACTTTCCATCACAACACAATTTTCATTTTTTTTCTTGAGTGTGTTATATTTCTTTGGAAACACATCCTGCGTATTATCTTTTTATTAAAAATAACATATGTCCTTAATAAGACCAAAGTAATTTTCGTTTGAATTGTATATGCCTTTCCAGAGACAAAGTGCATTTAATTGAATGTAACCCACTCTGAATGATGTACTCTGGCACTTCTAGCTCCCTCTAGTGGTGGGATGAGATGGGTGCGCAGTGAGTCCAGAAGCGGAAGCAGATGGGCAGTACTGTAATGACAGAGTGTGGTGGAACAGTGATGGAGGAGCCCATGGTTGCTGACGGCTCAAGCCAAGGACAGCAGCTCAAACTCATGCTGAAGTAGCAGACTCTGAGCCGATACCATTGAAATTACAGCCATTTTGCTGTGAGGTCTGTTCTTCCACATACTCTTCCTCTCTCTTCCCCAGGTTGTTCCATTGTTCCCCAGCACAGTTCAGTTGTGGCCCCTTTGCTCATCCTGTGGTACTGACAGGCAACCGAGAAGTGGGTTTGCACATTTGGAGTGTGAATTTGTGGCCATCCAGTAATTGTAGGTTAAGGTCAGCGTGTCTGGTGTTCGTTTTTAGTGAGAACACAACTGAGAATATTGCATTACATTACATTACAGTCATTTAGCTGACGCTTTTATCCAAAGGACTTAAAGATGATTAAGCTAACCACGGTCCAGTCCCCCCTGGGTTTGAACCACCAACCTCAGGGGTCCCAGTCATGCGTCTTAGCCACTAAACTACAGGCTGCCCGTATATCTTTAAGAGGAAGCAGATTGTCTTTTTTTTCAGTAAATACACCAATAAGAATTGGAATCTGAATGATTGTGTGTTTGTGTGTGTGCGCGTTTGTGTGTGTGTGCGTGTGTTTGTGTGTGTGTGTGTGTACATGTGTGCTTCTCTGCTCGTCTGCGCGATGGTTCAAAGAAGTCAGCAGGAGAGGACAGGAGAAGGAGAAACCCAGCACACGTGCAGTGTGGCCCGAGGGAAATCCGAGGCAAATTGGAGGCTTCTTTCAGGCTCTTCACAGAGGGGATAATGAGCACATTCTGCCGGTTAAATGACTGTGTGAGGTGGCGTCTCTGGGCGCATCCGACCCTGCTGTCACGGCAACAGTCACATCACACTCATCAGCAAGAGCAGAGACAATGCGGCCCACCTGCGCGGCCCGGGATCACTGGGACCAACTCAGTCAGGAGCTCAGAAAATGGCTGGCTTTGTCCTAGGCCTTCCCTCTTGAGCGTAAAACTCTGCCTCACTGATTCTGGGTACCTCACTGTAGGGTACGGAGGCAGTGACCAGTGACCTCAGGTTCGGACCAGCAGGGTTTAAAATGATGCTTAAACTACAGTAAGTACTGAAAATTAACAGGCTGCTAGGGATTGCCTGAGAGAAAATGGTTTCACTAAGTTTGGAGGTCATCTACAGCACTGCCACATACAACTTTTCGACAGTTACTGCAAGAAAAAGCTAAAAATCGTCAGATAAGAAGATAATCAAACAATTTAAAAGTGAGGAAAAACAAGCAGAAAACAGCAGAAAAAGTAGCTGGATGGAATGTCAAACAGAATAAACAGGTCAAGAGCACAGTGTTACCGAAAAGAGAGGAAACAATAAACTGTAGAATTGTGTGGTGAGAAAACAGAGACTTACAGATACCCTGTGGAGAGTTCGGAAAACATATTTGAGGGATTTTAAAATAAAAACTGCGAGCTTTTGTCTTCTGACGGAGGACTTGGGAGCACTGCTCATGATATGACATTTCAGATTTAAAGATGCATTTTGCAAGAGTAGCTATCTCCACAAACTGGTTCTTTTCAGCACCATCTTGTTGAAAGAACAAATAAACCCTAAAAAAAAAAAAAACATGCCCACAGTAATTCGGAAACTGACAATGATCTGAAAAAGAAAACTGTCCAGGCATGGCCATTTTCCTTGCTAACAATCTTGTTTTTTTATCCAGAATATTTCCATAAAGTTAAGATAAATGTTCCAAACACTTAAGTTTGTCACCCTTGCTAAAGAGAAGTTTGAGAGCAGTCATGTGGAAGAATGTAATGTTCTAGGACTGGTTGTTTTTTTCTTCTGTTAGCTGGGTAGCTGACTTGCAGTTTATTTCAAGTGAGGGACATTTTCACACCCAGTGGAATCTTATATAAAACTGAAGCTTGCAGTGAGATGTTCTCTCCAGGCATGGCATGAGAACAGAGAGAAGCTTGATGAGCTCTATGGAAAGTTCTGCCCTATTTTCTCCTATGTGTTTGTGTTCATTAAGCTATTCTTCATTGCGTTGTCCATTTTTTTTTTCCAGGAGACCACTTTGATCACCTATAGTTATTGCTCATGTTTTCCAAAACTTGTTAAAATTGTTTGTGCTGTTTATTTTTTAATTCCTCTGGCAAATGTCTGTTGTGAACTGATGTTGTAACATACAGTATTTGTAAATGGTGCTGTACAAAAATAAAGATTGTTTTTATTGATTGATGCAATGATTCTCTAGAGTAAATTCAAGGCTATATTCCAAAGGCTTCAGTTTTCACAGCAGCCTATAATATAGCAGATTTAAATAGGACATGGATTTTGTTTTTATTGGTGCCCGATGGGTTTTTTGGAGTTTGATAATTTAAGAGAGTTTTGGAGATGAAAAACAGAAACAGATATGTCATGATCCTAACTATCACCACCAAGACTCTATCTTGATCACTTGTCCTTTCATGAATATTTAAAAGTTAAACTAACAAACAAAACCTAAATTAATATTTAATTTGTTACACCATTAGAGAACCAGTGCTGAAAAACCTATGTAATAAGGTGAGGCCTGTGTAGAAGTGCTATGTACCAAAGCAGGGGTGCCAAGCTCCAGTACAAACTGCAATGTATGCTGGGATTTGTAGTTTCCTTTCAATCTGCAAATAACATTGACCCAGGCAATCAATGACTTGCGCCTTTGAGCTAAAAACACACAGAAAATCAGACACTCCACAAATGGAGTCCAATGTCCCTGTACCAAGTGAGGGCCTATACAAGAAGCCCTCAAATGACAGTTTTATGTACTAAGAAGAGACGGTATGATAAAAAGCCCTCAATAAGAGTTTTTTGTATTAATATGGACTGAGGAGAGGCCTTTTGTGGAACTTTGGAGGAGGAAATTGGTGGAACTTTGACGCCCACGGTAGATAGGGTCTATTGGGGCTCTACATGGTAATACAAGCCCATCTCACTCTGCAGTGTGCAAGTCTGGCCTCATTAAAAGCCCAAGAAATGTAGTTTAAGCCCCAGATACTGTTCTGAGAAAACAAATTAGCTGAGGGTCATGCGTCATTCAGCCAGCTGATTAAAGACTTGCTTTAATTTCCATTACAAAATAAAATAATTGCAAAACCGGGGAATTATCTCATAAATTTTACAAACAAGAACTACAAGGAAATGTGTTTTTTTTTCTTTCCACAAAAACACCAGAGGGACTGCACTTTCTGAAAGGCGTTTGGGGGATTTTTGAATTTTTCTTTTTTTTTTATTGCATTTTTTTTAATCCCTAATTGAGATGGTTTCCCAGGGGCTTTTCCATTTGCTGGCTTTTGTGAATGCATTCAGACCTTCAGACTCTCTGTGAAAAGAATTGCATTGTTAGTATGCAGAATGAGGGGCATCTCACGGGTACTGTTTTGGACCTGCAAAGGGGGCCGGAGGGGGCGGCATTGCCCCCATTAGTTGTTCGGTATTAAGCTAAAAAAGAATGTATAAACAAATGTAAAAAATACCTTTTGAAAGTGAAGTGGAGTGTCTAGCAAAAAATAGTATCAGGCAGATTTTATTTTAGATCTGTGTGAATCAATAAAGCTCCCAGAGCTAAGCGCTGAGAAAAGAGGCATAGATATCTTCTATCGGGAGATTCCTTTACAAGGGTGGATGAGCACTGAGGGAAATGTTGATGGTTAGGAAAAGACCTCTGGGTAATCCTGGTAGTGGAGACACCTTACAACTCTGCTGTCTGATCGACGCCAGTGCTCTGTCATCCATATCACATGAACTTTCCTTTCAGTACAACGTAACAGAAATCCAAAGAGGAGTTTCTTTCTTTTAATGTTTATTTTAACAGCGATATCTACCAGCGACCTGCAGCATCAGCATTGATGTCCAAGAACAGTGTGAGTCTACGCACCTGCAGGTGTCTTACTTAACGCTGCATTCTAAGATATGTTGCAACATCAGAAATTCCATCTGCAGGCAGACAGACTCACGTTGCTTTCAAACATTCATGCTGCCAATGCTAGCCATGGGTGGATTAACTCTCCTCACAGATTTGGGTGAACTATCACTTTAACTTACCCTCCACAAAGAGCCGGAGCACGGTACTCTTCTGATGAGTCTGTAAACATGAAGACAGAGACAGAGAGGCTAAGAAAGAGAGAGACTGGGGGAGGGAGAGAGAGAGAAAGAGAGAGGAATATATAGAGAGAGAGATAGATAGATAGAGAGGGAGAGAAAGAGAGCTGAGGATTAGAACCAAACACACAGCCCCGGTGAGAATGGATTTTCCGAGCAGATCTGAAACGGCCAGCAGACACAGAGCAGCCTCACAGAAGAGAGAAAAAAGACATATGAAAGACAGCGTAATGCTTTTGTGAACCCCTCCCTGAAGTCAAATGGCACTACACTACAGACGAGCCTTTGGCGGCCTGCTGGCTTACCTCAGCTGCCCCATTCCCTCTCTCTTCTCTCTCCTCCCTCTGTCATATCCTCCTCTTCTCCACAGCCAGGAATTAAAGTGAATTAAAAAGGAATTCAACTTTTAAACATATTACTTATTATTTGATAATAATTGATATGACATTTAACAGGCCAGCCCTGTTGCAGTTTTAAATTGCAGCTAATTTAATTATTACCATGTGACAGGGGTAGACTTGTTTAATTTTGTGTTTAACTTGTGTAATTCAGAACATCATCTACCCCTCGTTCCATGTCAAGTAAATTGCAGTTACTCAGTATTAGCGTGTTGTTCCTTAAGTTGTTACAATGTAATTACATAATGGGGGTGGCGACTTCAAAATGTCACCTATTATTTTCTTATTTCTATCCAACTTTGAATCACGGATTTTGTTGTTGAGCACACGTCTGTGCTGCCCCCTCCAAGAAAAAGCACTGAGTCTGAGAGACAAACGGGCAGGTGCATGGAGGAGCGGAGTGGGCTACTCCCCCTCTGTTGCTGCTGTCTCAGTCTGCAGAGCCTACAGGACCTTGGACAGTGGCAGCCTCACCCACAGGCAGGGCCATCTGAGGCCAGCAGCCAGCGGTCAGCAGTCAGCCCAGCCCAGGTGTAATCCATTGCATTAATTAGGCCTTTATAAAAGTACAGACAGTCCTGTTGAAAGGACTGGTAGTTATCATGTATAGATGACTTGCTTTGGGTATAAAGCTTTTTTTTTTCATAGACAGCTCACCCACTGGCAGGTTTAGAGGAGGCCAATCAGTAATCAGCCCAGGTGTGAGCCATTGCCTTAATTAGACCCTTTATAAAGGCACACATTAGCATGGCAGATGGACAACCAGTCATTTAGCATGTGTTGTAATGGATAGGTGCTTGCTGTGTGCTTTTGTGATCTTTGCGTTTGCCTGTTTATTTTGGGGTTTTCTTTTCCCTTTTGTGTTTTTTTTTGCCTTTTCCAGTCTGCCCCAAGACAGGGAAATGAAGCAGCAGTTGGCTATTTTTGAACATTTCTTTGTTCCTTTTTCTTCCACTCTCTGACCA